CGAGCCCGCTGTTGCCCCCTGACTCCCTCCAACCTATGAAAACCCCTTCACTCACTCATTTCCAATCACCAAACACCTTTCCCATCCATTCCCTCACGACCCCTAAACGCTCACAAAAGTAGACTACATGGAAAGCAGACTCCTCTTCCCCGCAAAACGTACGCACCCCACCTTTCCAAATCCGTCTGTCCCATAAAACCACTCCAGACGGTAAGATCCCGTGTAGAAACCAAAACATTACTTCCTTCACTTGCGGTCGTAGACGCAACCCCTTCAAACGGTGCCAGATGTTGTCCCACCCATACATGGGGTACGCTCCTTCCACAGTGACTGCCACCTGAGGCTAAACCCTCCTCTCCACAGACCCCACCCGAATGTTTGTTGTTGTACTGGCCTACAAAAATTCCCGCAAAATCGCTTCACAATCTCGTAAGTCCTTCCCTCTCCATCACTGTTGAATGTTCCCTCTCACCTTACACAACCCCCCCCCCCTCCCTGCACTCCCGCCTGAACTCATGCTTAACATAAACACCCTTTAACCTATTACCCAGGAAAATTAACCCCAGCCCTCCCTTGGCTGCCGGAAGTGTCACTACCTCCTTCCTTAACCAATCACACCCTGAACCCCATATATACCTAGAAACCTTACCCAAGTCTCCAAACATCCCCAGACACCAAAGGATTCATTGCAGCTACATGCCATATTTTGCTAAACAGAAGCACATTTATCACAATGACCCGCTGGTGTAAAGTAAGATGTGTCGACCTTAACCCATTCAAGCTCCCCAGCACCTTATTCACGACACGTGGAATTTTCCTCCCTCGCAATCTCCACATCAGCCATATACACAATCCCACAAATCTTAAGCCTATCCACTACACACCACCTCTCCCCTCTATACACATGTCCTCCCCCTTTCCACCCACCCAATCCTAGAAGTTTAGACTTATCCACATTCACCTTCATACCTGTCGCTGCTCCAAAAACATCCACAGTTCTCCCCAAACCCTCTAAACCCTCCCTCCCATGCACAAGAACCATTGTAGCATCAACATAGCCTATGATACCTAGTCGTCCACCACTCCTATCCTCCCACACACCCTCGCAGACACACCTTTCCACCGCCCTATAAAAAAGGGTTCTGCAAACACGCGAACAGGATTTGTGACAGAGGGCATCCCTGTCACAAACCTCTAGCCACCCTCACACAAGTTCCCACCCTCCCATTAACCTGCACACATGTACCGGCTCCCCTATATAACATACGCGCCCATTGCACAATTTCCTCCCAAAACCCCTGCCATCTCATAAAGCTCCTCAACGCTGTTCTCTCAACACTATCATATGCTGCTTCCCAATCAATCGCTAACACCCCTCCCCCACTCCCACACCCTATAAAACGTCTGATGACCCCACGCCCCTCATACATAGAACGCCCCAGCACCCCATATTGTCCCTCGATGATTACTGATGACCCTCTTTAAGCGATTACCCAATATCTTTGCAAATATTTTGTAGTCCCCACACATGAGCGATATCATACAGTAGTCCCATACTGTTGACTAACACCCTTTGGGACCAAAACAACAATTGCGGTCGCTTGCGACACCCCTAACTCCCCTCGCGCCTTCATATTAATAGATAAAGATACCAAAAAGTCCTTCAGGACACCCCAATGTTGCATGTAAAAGTCACTGGGCAGACCGTCTATACCAGGGGCCTTGCCCCGACACATGCCCATTAGAGTCGCCCACACCTCAGTGATGGCCCCTCCCAACATTGCCCTATCACCCTCGTCAAGCACACACTCCACCCAATCACCCATCTCCTGTAATGCCCCTTCACTCACATCCATGTACCCACCCATCCCCTCATTCATTACCAATTCTTGCCCCACTGTATACCCCGCCATCACTGCATGCACACGCAGTCCCACCATTTCTGTTGCCACTCGCCACCACACCTGTCCATGCAGAACACACACTGATGGCCTATCACCCTGTAGGACCTGCTCCAAACCACCCATCACCTGCACTGTGTCAAACCTATCGTTATGCAAGTCCCTGAGTCTATCTTTCAAACCCACATTATCCTCCACTGGGTATCCCCCAGCCCCTCTCCTCCATAACATTCCTGCAGTTGCCCCTCAATATACCTAATAAGTTTGTAAGTCATTTGACTCTCCTGCCGCCCCTGATGAACATAAAATTCCTGAATCCTCGGCTTTGCACTTGTGTCCCACCACACCAACACATCTCCCTTCCCCTTCCCACCATCCCACAACCCCTCCCAGAACCTTGCAAATAAGACCCCCTCAACATCATGTAGGAGATGTACCTTCAGTTTCCAATAACCCTTATACCTATGCGGCAATCCCTCCCAAGCCAAAACCACCAGAACACCCCTGTGGTCCGAAAACCCCACGTGCACAACACGGACGCTCTTCACCACAGCTTTCCTAGTGACATAAATCCTATCCAGTCTAGCTGCATATCCCTGCTGCAGAAAAGTGTGTTCAACATCCCATGCTGCACCCCTCACATCCACCAACCCCACCCCTTTTAACAATTCATCCAATACTCCCGAACAAAACCCCGCCCCTCTGGGTTCCACATCCTTATGACAAATCACACAATTCCAATCCCCTCCCACCACCGCGACTGCGGATAGGGATCACAAGTGATACACCAACACATCTCGAACAAATTAATTTTTAACACTACCATCCCCCTCTGCCAGACCATAAACACACACTAAGGACACCCTCTCCCTCCCCCACGACCCATCCACATGAACAGTTCTCCTCTCCCCCCCCTCCTCCCAATGGTGAACAGTAAATGGGCTAGCCCCCCTTAGCAAAATTGCCACATCTCCTTTCAAATGCAGCGAGTGAGTTGCATAGACAACAAAGCCCTATATCACCAACTCGCATCCTGGCTTGTGATTATGTTCTTGGACGAACACCACATCCACACCACACCGAACTATAAATTCCCGAAACCAAGTGCACTTCCGTTCATTCCGCAAACCATTAGCATTTATAGTGAGACTCTTGAAGCCATGAGTGGAGGTTTACCTTTATGCACAGTTGAGCCTCTATTCCCATTCCTCCGAACACCCCCATGGACCTCTGTCGGGCCCCTGGGGCCCCCTTTCACAGGTCCTTTACCCCTGGGCCCTCCAAGGCCACACCCATCGACACCGGCCCAAACCTTCTTCCCTATACGCTGTGCCAGTGTAAGCACATCTTCCATGTCCGAGGGAGCAGCTGCCCGCTTCCGAGACACTCGAGTTCTCTTCCCAACAACTTCCTGGAAACCTGCTTCATGCACCTCCGCCACTACAGTTCCAATCTGTAAGGCAGCGTCCACACTAGTCTCCGACACGTCCACCTCCATGTGCCCGGGGTTCTCAACAGACTCCAGAGCACCCACAAGGCCCTCCACAGAGACTTCTCCCGGGGTACTCAACAGGTCGTGGAGCACCGAATCAAAGGTGACCTCTTCCCCTCCTCCACCAAGTGGCACCTGACCCAGGGTCACCTGTTCCTGCCCGGTAGATCCCTGCTCACCCGGCAGCATGGTGCACCCACCCTCCGGTGACATCGCCTCATCTACTTCCACACTCCATGCCTTACGTCCGGACGTCTCCACCGTACATGCCACCACAGTCGTTCCCAGGCCCTCCGGCAATTCCTGATGCTGATCCGTCTCCTGTGCGTCCTGTCGATGAGGACATTGCACCGCAACATGGTCACAGGTGTCACACAATCGACATGTACATCGTTGTCCTGTGTATGTCACCAGTACCTGCGTCAAGAAATACTCCAGTTGCACATAAGGAATGGGATGCCTTAAATTCATCTTCAGTGAGAAGCTACCCTCAGGCATCCCCGCATACGAGCCCTCCTTCCACGTACCCATCGTTGCCAAGTGAAGAGTCCGTATTTCTCAAACACAGCTCGCAGGTCCAACTCATCAGCTTCAAAAGGCATGTTCCTAATTTTCACCCACGTGAAAAATCGGGACACATCATGAAGTCTCACTGTTACAGCTGGATTCACAGGCATACTAACGTCTTGAAATCTGGTGACAATATCCTCATAAACACTTGCATTACGAAACTTCACGTAGATCCTGTAGACTCAATTCAAAGCCACTCTGTACAGCTCTTCATTCACTATACCGCTATACCGTACGTATCCCTGATGATAGCCGGCAGTAAAAGCTGAGCCGAATGGACATACACAGCCCCACAAACCACTTCAATGCCTACAGTGTTCACCCGGCGTCGACCCTGCTGCGCCATTTTGTGAAAACCAAAGCAACACTAACTGACGGCAGGGGGCAGTCTCTGCGCTCTTCCCGAGGGTCAAGTGACGAATTGAGGTGGGTTGGTAGCGCACTCAGCTCACACACCCGTACCGTGGTTCGATCCCCGGTACGGGTGGAAACATTAGGACGTGTTTCCTTAAGACACCTGCTGTCCATCTTCACCTAGCAGTAAAATAGGTACCTGGGTGTTAGCCGACTGGTGTGAGTCGCATCCTGGGGACAAAACTGACCTAATTTGTGGGAAATGCTCTGTATAACGTGGGACTTTCTATGTAGTAGTATGTCATTGATGTCAGCTATGGTCTGTATAAGTTGTATCGTGTGCTGGTAGAAATACAGATTAGTAGTAGTAGTAGTAGTAGCAGCAGTAGTAGTAGTAGTAGTAGTAGTATGTACAATGTTAGTCAAGGCTGGGCAGAACCTTGGTAGTAGATCCACTGCGTAGAGCCAGAGAAGAGTTGTAGAGTCATCTCTGGGGTATCAAGTGACTGGCCTTGAGCTTTTATTCTGGTGTCTGTCCCCTCACTTTTATCATTCACGGTAAATAATAAGTCAGAATGACGAGAGACATTTCCTTATCAATATTCAACATTAGTGAGCTAAAATAAACGTTGAGCCATGATGACAAGCAGAGAAGTGTGTGGAGGTGGTACAATGATAAGTTTGTTTAGTAACTGACTGACCTTTGGGGTGGGTGGTGCTGCTGTCTCTCTCTCCCGCACATGTAAGTACATCTCTTTCTTTAGTAAGTTTAGTTAGGAAGGGGAGTAAATTCTTGGGTAGTGATGGTTTTGATAAGGATCTGCCTTGTATGGGCCAGTAGGCCTTCTGCAGTGTTCCTTATGATGTTCTTATAAGTACAATTATCTTTCATTGTGTTGAAAAGGCAAGAAAATACCAACGAATTGAAGATTAAGACATATGTAATAATTGGGTATCTGTTTATATATATATATATATATATATATATATATATTATATATATATATATATATATATATATATATATATATATATATATAATATATATATATATAATATATATATAATATATATAAGCTTTTTCACCCTGAAATGTGTACCTCTTCAGTACAGGAAAGACTGTGCTATAACTTAAATTGCCAGGCATACCATCTAAAGGGGACAAAAAGATACAAAACATCCAGGCCATGGGAAAACCTGGGTAGCCACAGCCACTCAAGAGGGAGAGGTTTTTTAGTGCCAGGAAGGAAAAAAAAAACTGGCAGGAAATGGCAGAAATCGTACACCAAATCCAGTCATTCCTGGGTGGAACCACAGTCGATGGCCTCCACTCCAAAACCAACAGATACAGATACTAATGCCGGAAAAAAAAAATCCCCCCCCAGTACCAACAATACCACCAGTCCGATAACATTCTTCTTTGCAAATATACAGGGTCTAAAGCCAGCAACAAACAACAAAATACCTTTCATCCGTGGACTGCTTGCAGAGGCAAAGGCAATGTTCGCGGCTTTCACTGAGACCCCACATAAAGGATCACTTGGACAATGAAATATGGATCCCAGGTTACAACCTATAACAGATGTGACAGAGTGAACAGGCAAAAAGGGGGGGGGGTTGGCCTGTACATTGCAGCAGTCACTTGTTTGCACAGAACTGCTTAATGCCTCAAATGACGTAGTGGAAGTTTTTAGCAGTAAAGGTCGAGAACCAAAACCTAGTCATTGTGGTAGTCTACAAGCCTCCGGATGCAACATCCCAGCAATTCCAGGAACAGCTGTTAAAAATTGACCACTGTCTGGAAAATCTTCCAGCTCCTGCACCCAACATCTTGCTCCTGGGGGATTTCAACTTAAGGCACCTAAAATGGAGGAATATAGCCAATAATATTGTTGCAGTAATAACACCAGGAGGCAGCTCTGATGAAAACTCACACTCACACGAGCTTTTAAATCTCTGCACAAAATTCAATTTAAACCAGCAAATAATAGAGCCTACTAGACTGGAGAATACACTAGACCTCATATTCACTAACAATGATGATCTGATAAGAAATGTCACCATATCAAAAACAATATACTCAGATCACAACATAATTGAGGTTCAGACATGTATGCGAGGAGCCCCAGACCGACAAAATGAGACTAGTCACGAGGGAGCATTCACCAAATTCAACTTCAATAACAAAAACATAAAGTGGGACCAAGTAAACCAAGTCCTAACCGATATAAGCTGGGAAGATATACTAAGCAACACAGACCCAAACTTATGCCTAGAACAGATTAACTCGGTGGCACTCGATGTATGCACAAGGCTTATTCCTCTAAGAAAAAGGAGGAGTAGATGTAAAATAGAAAGAGACAGGCGCTCTCTTTACAGGCGACGGAAAAGAATAACAGAGCGGCTAAAAGAGGTCAATATATCTGAAATGCGCAGGGAGACACTGGTCAGAGAAATAGCAAGCATCGAACTTAAGCTAAAAGAATCCTTTAGGAGTCAGGAATCGCGGGAAGAACTAAAAGCTATAAATGAAATCGAAAGAAACCCAAAGTATTTCTTCTCCTATGCCAAATCAAAATCGAGAACAACGTCCAGTATTGGGCCCCTACTTAAACAAGATGGGTCCTACACAGATGACAGCAAGGAAATGAGTGAGCTACTCAAGTCCCCAAAATGACTCAGTTTTTAGCAAGCCGCTAACCAGACTGAGAGTCGAAGATCAAAATGAATTTTTTATGAGAGAGCCACAAAATTTGATTAACACAAGCCTATCCGATGTTATCCTGACGCCAAATGACTTCGAACAGGCGATAAATGACATGCCCATGCACTCTGCCCCAGGGCCAGACTCATGGAATTCTGTGTTCATCAAGAACTGCAAGAAGCCCCTATCACGAGCCTTTTCCATCCTATGGAGAGGGAGCATGGACACGGGGGTCGTCCCTCAGTTACTAAAAAAAAACAGACATAGCCCCACTCCACAAAGGGGGCATTAAAGCAACAGCAAAGAACTACAGACCAATAGCACTAACATCCCATATCATAAAAATCTTTGAAAGGGTCCTAAGAAGCAAGATCACCACCCATCTAGAAACCCATCAGTTACACAACCCAGGGCAACATGGGTTTTAGAACAGGTCGCTCCTGTCTGTCTCAACTACTGGATCACTACGACAAGGTCCTAAATGCACTAGAAGACAAAAAGAATGCAGATGTAATATATACAGACTTTGCAAAAGCCTTCGACAAGTGTGACCATGGCGTAATAGCGCACAAAATGCGCGCTAAAGGAATAACAGAAAAGTCGGTCGATGGATCTATAATTTCCTCACTAACAGAACACAGAGAGTAGTCGTCAACAGAGTAAAGTCCGAGGCAGCTACGGTGAAAAGCTCTGTTCCACAAGGCACAGTACTAGCTCCCATCTTGTTCCTCATCCTCATATCCGACATAGACAAGGATGTCAGCCACAGCACCGTGTCTTTCCTTTGCAGATGACACCCGAATCTGCATGACAGTGTCTTCCATTGCAGACACTTGCAAGGCTCCAGGCGGACATCAACCAAATCTTTCAGTGGGCTGCAGAAAACAATATGAAGTTCAACGATGAGAAATTTCAATTACTCAGATATGGTAAACATGAGGAAATTAAATCTTCATCAGAGTACAAAACAAATTCTGGCCACAAAATAGAGCGAAACACCAACGTCAAAGACCTGGGAGTGATTATGTCGGAGGATCTCACCTTCAAGGACCATAACATTGTATCAATCGCATCTGCTAGAAAAATGACAGGATGGATAATGAGAACCTTCAAAATAGGGAGGCCAAGCCCCCCGATGACACTCTTCAGGTCACTGTTTATCTAGGCTGGAATATTGCTGCACTCAAAACAGCACCTTTCAAGGCAGGTGAAATTGCCGACCTAGAAAAGGGACAGAGAACTTTCACGGCGCGCATAACGGAGATAAAACACCTCAATTTCTGGGAGCGCTTGGGGTTTCCTAAACCTGTATTCCCTGGAATGCAGGAGGGAGAGATACATGATTATATACACCTGGAAAATCCTAGAGGGACTAGTACCGAACTTGAACACGAAAATCACTCACACGAAAGCAAAAGACTTGGCAGACGATGCACCATTCCCCCAATGAAAAGCAGGGGTGTCACTAGCACGTTAAGAGACCATACAATAAGTGTCAGGGGCCCGAGACTGTTCAACTGCCTCCCAGCACACATAAGGGGGATTACCAACAGACCCCTGGCAGTCTTCAAGCTGGCACTGGACAAGCACCTAAAGTCAGTTCCTGATCAGCCGGGCTGTGGCTCGTACGTTGGTTTGCGTGCAGCCAGCAGCAACAGCCTGGTTGATCAGGCGCTGATCCACCAGGAGGCCTGGTCACAGACCGGGCCGCGGGGGCATTGACCCCCGAAACTCTCTCCAGGTAAACTCCAGGTATATGTATGGTAAACACGAGGAAATTAAATCTTCATCAGAGTACAAAACAAATTCTGGCCACAAAATAGAGCGAAACACCAACGTCAAAGACCTGGGAGTGATCATGTCGGAGGATCTCACCTTCAAGGACCATAACATTGTATCAATCGCATCTGCTAGAAAAATGACAGGATGGATAATGAGAACCTTCAAAACTAGGGAGGCAAAGCCCATGATGACACTCTTCAGGTCACTTGTTCTATCTAGCCCCTCAAGGAAGGTTCCTTGATGTTGGTGAGGGGCTCTTGATTTAGGGAATTGGATCCGTGCTCCAGTTCCCCGAATTAAGCCTGAATGCCTTTCCCCATCCCCCCAGACTGGAATATTGCTGCACACTAACAGCACCTTTCAAGGCAGGTGAAATTGCTGACCTAGAAAATGTACAGAGAACCTTCACGGCGTGCATAACGGAGATAAAACACCTCAATTACTGGGAGCGCTTGAGGTTCCTAAACCTGTATTCCCTGGAATGCAGGCGGGAGAGATACATGATTATATACACCTGGAAAATCCTAGAGGGACTAGTACCGAACTTGCACACGAAAATCACTCACTACGAAAGCAAAAGACTTGGCAGACGATGCACCATCCCCCCAATGAAAAGCAGGGGTGTCACTAGCACGTTAAGAGACCATACAATAAGTGTCAGGGGCCCGAGACTGTTCAACTGCCTCCCAGCATACATAAGGGGGATTACCAACAGACCCCTGGCAGTCTTCAAGCTGGCACTGGACAAGCACCTAAAGTCGGTTCCTGACCAGCCGGGCTGTGGCTCGTACGTTGGTTTACGTGCAGCCAGCAGCAACAGCTTGGTTTATCGGGCTCTGATCCACCAGGAGGCCTGGTCACAGACCGGGCCGCGGGGGCGTTGACCCCCGGAACTCTCTCCAGGTAAACTCCAGGTATATATATATATATATATATATAATATATAATATATAATATATATTATATTATATATATTATATATTTTATATATATTTAATATATATATATATATATATATATATATATTATATATATATTTTATATATATATATATATATTTATATATATATATATATATAAAATATATATTATATATATATATATATATATATTATATATTTATTATTTTATTTATTATTATTGGTATAAACCTTGGTAATAAATACCGACAAGTTGGTTTAGAAAGACTCTCTCCAGGTAAACTCCAGGCAATGAGTCCCTCAGCCTTGTATGTGGTGTTCACAGCACCGTGGTTG